TGTTTGATGGTAAAGGTTATTCAAACTGGGGGGCATTTCCAGCATGCTTGCACCGGAAATGCCCCCCAGTTTGAATAACCTTTACCATCAAACAAATTGGGGAGCAAAACAACTCAAGAGATTGCTGCTTAATGAAACAGTCACTCAAAACCAATTCAGAATGATTTCATCGGGTGTTGACGGAATAGTCGCCTTGGTAAAAGTGACCCACGCAGTCAATTTTAACTAGATTGTTATGCTTTATTGTTCTCACTGATTTTTTCGAATTCATTTCTTTAAAGTCTATTACTGCAGTTTTTCGTGGCTTAGGAACAATAATGTCTACAGATATGATATACACTTTTATTTGCTTTGAAGTAGATTTTACCGCATCTCACATTCATACGATAATAAAACACAGAAATAATAAAAAGATAAAGGATTTAGCTAATGAGCTAGCTATGTCCACCAATACAAATTCTGGGTAGCCTATTAGCGTAGAAAAGACTTCCAAAGTTAGATTGAAATCTCCCCTCCCCTCCCTGCAAATCGCGACGATCATCGGTAGTTAGTGAAGAGAATTACGGTAAACGTCCTTGTTTGCACCAGATTGCCAAGTGATTGGCAAATACTGAGCGATGCGAGGTGACAGCGTGTGTTTCTTCAGTGACTTTCACCTTTGTGGGCAGTTTGAAGGAGGTGGGACTTTCGTTTCGTTCAAAAATGATAAGCCACCAGACGTTACCCTCACGTACACTTGGAGTAAAAATGAAAACCACTGCCTCACTGGACGCGTTATTGTTCGTAGGATAGGGCCCCGCCCCGTAGTGCGATAATGTCGTTTTTTTCAAGGCTTTATTGTTTGGTTGGTTCCCTTTCCTTTGTCTAAAGTTTTCTCTGGCCTACTTCTATGTTTATCGGGATAAGCTAGCGGACGCTGTTTCTGACTGGATTACGTACGCCTGAAGTGCACCAGTATGCTCAGATATTTGTTTGATAGTTTTTCCATGGTATGCTTGGGAGAAATAGACCCCGTTTGCCTATGTCACGCTTACACAATCGATGATTGATGCTTCCATAACGTGATTGGGAGTGTTTAAACGAACAATCTCCTACTACGGTTAGCAGAGAATCAATACTTCACCTAACTTTCAAATGCATTATTGAAGTAGCTCATCTACCATGTTTGGCCGTCAACTGATGTAATTTTGTACCTAACAAGATATCAGATGTTTAACTTCAGCCTGCAATCATTCTAAATTTTTTTTTCATTTTTCCTTCCTTTCGTTGTATATACACTGATAATTTTCAAGAAGACGGTGCCATTCTGTACATAATGGGGAAAGTCAGGCGGTGATGGTGGGGTTCGAACACAGTTCGTCCGGGGTGACAATTTGAGCCCCTGCCGCCCATTCATTCTATCTGATATCAAACCAGTAGGTTGCGACTGTCCTCGTCTCTTAATTATGCCCTTTGGGCTTGATCAGTTTGCAAGTAAGAAAAACAGCTGTACTCGAAAAGCGGTAATAACTTGTCAAATTACGGTACAAATAATTGCCATACTAGAGGGAGATTTGTTTTCAAACTGACCAACAGCCTCTGTTGTTCTCTGATCACTAGAATATACAAACGGAACCTTAATTTCCGAGGATATATTTAGACAGATTGTTCTGAGAACCGGTCAGGGAGGCTGTGAACATTTGAATTTCAAATGAAATCGTTAACGGAGCAAGCTCATGAACCTTACCTCACGTGTGATTTGGCGAATATTCAGTGATTCTTGGAGTTTCTCAGACCCTTGATACAAACGCGCACGATCAGCCGTGGTCCTTGCTGAATTAGGTGAACAATGCACAATTGAGCAAAAAAGCCGATCAACCTTCATCTGGCGAATAGTAAAATACTCATTTGTTAATCCTTAATTTGGTGCTCCGGATTTGAAGTGCAGTTCGTAAGCAAACGAAAGCTTTTGCACAAAGCATGTTGAGTAAGTTTGCTTCCATTTGGAACGCGGCCTCTATATGGGGACTGGTTACTATGGGGCGGATGCATGAGAGTTCATCTCATTTTCTGCTAAATCCTAATACCAGGAAACAAAAGGGAAGAATTTCGTGGTCACACGCTTAAAAAATATGACGCCTTCTTACCGTTACGCGTTTAGACTGTTGTTTGCTTCCTGCGTGAATTCACTCCCATCTTTCTATTCTTTTTTTTAATCTCTGCCCCCGTACAATATAAAAGTGATCAATCACTTTTCAAGTAAGAGATTGCGGTTGATCTCAGGTTGTCAGGAGAATAAGGGGAATGGGGAATTAGGGTGGGGCGAGGCGGTGTGGGAAATGAGGCGTTTCGAACACTTTGCCGCTTGACCATTTTCCCGATTTACGGTCCAAACAGCTATATACGAGCACAGAGCAATGCGGTATTCTGCACCACCAATGCCCATAGGCTGGGAACACTTACTATGTGATAAACAATTCTAAACGCAATACCCACAACTGAGAGAAAGGAATTTCAGTTAAATTTTCACTTTTGTTGATTCGAATGAATGTAGAGACTATATGCTATAATGACAAGTTCAGGAAGTCCTTAAAATACAATCAAATCTATGCCCCCCCCCTCAAGTTAACCATGTGATTTCACCCTCCTATTGATTTATTTCTGATGATCAGATACATCAGTATTTGAAAAGACCAGTGAAGCGAAGAATTATTTCCGATTACTCATTCTCAAGCTTCGACATTAACATATGATCACAAGGTGGCAACAAAAGTCATGATTTATAAAATAAACGGGGGTAAATTATTTGAATCAGTCTATCGAAAAGCAACTAAAATTATCTTTCGAATAATTGTATCTGTATATCATATAAATATGTACCGGAGGAATATGGAGCATTTTTGTTGCACCAAAACTCAAAGAAGTTCATCCAACACCCACCAAAAAATTGACATCATTTGTTGATGATAGATTGGGTGTTTTATCAGATAAAGGTAAAAATTGGGACGGAAAGACTATTCAGAAACTAAGCAACTGGTTCAGTGTGTTCCCAAAAATTTTAATCATTTTGTAGTGATAAGTTAGTCATGAATTTTCTCTCTTCAGGCGGTCGATAGTGGCACTTTTGCTCACGTAAGTACTCGATTCCAACAATCAACTTAACTTATATAACTCAGTCAGTTTGTTCTCAAAAATCGATTTTTGAGGGAATAAAAGCACTTCAACGTTCAATTTTTGATACCAACAGTAAGAGAAATGGAAACCTAATGACTTGAGGTTATTTACTTTCACCAAGCATCACAATTTTGATAGGTGAACCTTAACGTTTTTCTTTCTCTGGGTCTCCACGGTCGTTGAGAACAGTGGTCACCGAATGGTATTTACGTCCCGCTGATTACGCAGTCGTGCGCATGGGGTCTTATTCCGCGTATTTCTCACGTTTTTCACTCTCTATCTCGTTTAATCAAGCATTTTCTGCACATTCGCAGATATCTGCACAAAATGCTTCCAGTTGTTCTAAGTGCACGCCAGGTATGCTTAAATCCAAAACAGTTCGATTAACTTCTTATACGCCCCTTTTGCCTCTCTGTACTCTCTCTCTCTCTCTCTCTCTCTCTCTCTCTCTCTCAGAATCCTTGTATCTTACGCCATTGTATTTGAGATCATGCTTTCATCCATCTTGGTTTGGAAGTGTGACGGGGTAAAGAAATAGCACAAACCCTGGATACGGACATTGACAACGGTTGGTGACAACGCAGCATGCCAAAGTAACGAAGGAAATAGAGCCCAGAATTAGTGTGTGAATTGAAATATTTTGGAGCACGGATCAATCATAATGATTTGGTTGTCTCAATTCCTTGGCTGAGGAAATAACTATGCACCGGTTTGATGTCGACCCAGTTTGACAGTAATTGGTATACCGACTAAATTGGTAAATCAGTTGGACAGATCAACATCGCGATAGGAATGAGCGAAGAATAGGGGTCTAGTAGGCTGAGATAACTGCGAGCGTATATTGTATGAATCTACTGTAGGGACGACGGTGTTGCAATAACTCACCTGGTCTTTGACCCGCTCCAGCTTCTGACCACATGGGGCCAGGTACGAGGGCTCGGCCGTTCACGGACAGTACAGCACTAGGCTCAGAGATGATAAATTCCTGAGTGGTAATCAAAATGCTCAACGGTTCTTCCGCGTGTGCAGGGTGACGATCCACAGTGCGGCCAGGCTCACCAACCACCTCAACCGGTCGTCGAATTCCATGCGGTCTGCCAGCAACCAGGCTTGACAGTCTACGATAGTCTGTGTGACCATTGACTATACCGGCCGCGGTGAGGATACTGGCTTCCTTATCCGTACTGGTCCAAGTGTAGGCACCACGATCGATATTTTCATTATGTTCTTGGAAGACAAAGGGGTTCAGAAAGTGGTTGAGCAGAATGCCACACACATTAGGGATCAACGCTCACGTGTACTCAAACACAGATAAACACGTGCGTTTGTACGCACGACCGCACGTATCATGCAAAAAACAACTTGATAAGGAAGGCCTGTTTCAAGTTTTTCCCACTCTGACTTCTGTCCCCTCAGTTGACGACCACAAGACGTGTGTGTTTGCGAGAGAGATCACAGGTCCAAAGGGAAACTCCAGGAACAGGCGAATAAAATGAACGATGCAACGACCCAGATACAATTATGGTGTCTCCTGGGTGTTCTCAGTAGTAACGCATGTTGCGTAACATTTATTTATTCCCAGTGAACATATACAAGCACGCATACACGCACGCTTGCAGGCATGCATACACAGATTGGAATTTATGTGTTGGTCACCATCAAACGATGACCTAGTGAACGAAAACTAGAACTGAAGCAGTAATAGTTATGGTATCGTTAAATCCTTTGCGAACAACTATTCCTCAGCTGATTGATTCGGTTCAAGCTGAACGATAGAAAAACATCGACTGGGAAAAACAAGACATGGCGGTGAATTGATTGATGGGGAACTGAACACAGTATGTGGTCACTAAGGTTGATAATAATCACTTCTCGACAACAGAACTTTATCTATTTTCACTGAGAAACACACTGTGGGGACAGGATGAAGGATATTTGGAAAAACATGACCCGTGCAATTGCCGTTGGAACTGGAGTTCAAGCGGTATTAGTTGAAGTAATGGCGTTTGTAGTAATACTACTCCAATCATCTATCGATCGATTGCATTGCTGCTTGATTGCTCGTCCAACAACCCGATATCGATTGGTTGACGTCCGACTTGTGTGAGCGCGGATGGGCCAGCTACTACTTGGTGGGTGTGAGGGTTGGTGAATATGTAAGTGAATGAGCGAGTGAGTGAGTGGGTGAATGGGTTAAGGAATGAAGGAAGAGACTGCGGGGGAAATTGGCTACAGCAGGTTTGGGATGGCGTGCAGATAGTGGATACACACACACACGCACGAAATCGTCTGC